TAAACTTACTTGTAAAAGGCCCATGTTTGCTCTTGCTGGATTATTTGTGACTAAGATTCTATGAGTCCAGGAGTTTGACTTCACAACTAGAAGTTTCTCTCCCTGAGATTTAAGATTCTCTGAGTGTCTAGAAAGGTAGCAACTGTCTTCCTAGGCAGGTTTTGCAGCTATCAGAAAAAGCAAATCCAGGGCTAGGGGTGCCCCATAACAGCATCTCTGGCAAAAATATTCACTGACAGATATGCAAGCGAGTTGGTCGGGGGGTAGCCGAACCTTGGGGGTGGGAGGGTCCAGCCAGCTGTGTGTACCTGGCTAAGCTCCCCACCTCCCTGGGCCTTATCCCCCAGCTCAGGCTGACTCGTAGTGACCAAGGCAAGAGACCAGCCTCAGGGACCAGTCAGCACTGAGAGCCCATGCAGGATGTGACGAGCACGCAGTCTCTGTCACCTTTCGCAGTCACGGTGACAACAGCAGCTGCCCCCAGTTATGCAACACCTGCCTTGTTCTAGTCCTCTATATGCTTTAACTCACGAAAGCCCCACAGCCACCTTGGATGCTGTTCTTGTCTCTGTTTCACAGAAGGGACAACTTCGCTTCAGAGAGCAAGAGAGTGGCTTGTCCAAGGTCACCCAGCCAAGAAAAGGTAGAGCTAAGGTACGGCCCAGATCTGCTGATGCCCCAGCCCCTGCCTCACCCCATATTACTGCGGTAGGCAGCCGGAGAAGAGAGCTGCCTCAGGCAGCACTATGGAAGCCCAAACCCCCTGTCCCTCCCCATCAAGTCCTAACACTCAGAAAGGACTCCAGATCTAGAAAAGTATAAAGAAGACAGCAAAGATCTCCCATGCCCCCACTGTGAACAGTTTTCAGAAACACATGCAGCTCTTAAAAAATGATATCATGCTGCCCATGCTGTTTTATAACCTCTTTTTTTTTTTTCCCCAACTCTACAATACTCGGAAGTTCTTTCCGCAGTGGGGAATCTCGGGCCGCAGCCCCATTCCTAACAGCGACAGTGGGCGCCATTGGAGGACTTCAGTAAATGGATCGAACTAGTCTCCTGGTGATGGACATATAGGTTATTCCCAACTGTCCTCCGACAGTCAACAGTCCCCAGTGAACATTCTCTAGCATGTTGGGATCCCCGTCATTCTTTAGGCACCGGCCGAGCGATCACACCCTTAGAGAGGCCATCTGGGACTGGAGCACATCAGTCAGGTCCCCCACACCCCCGTTTGTATTTGCAACATCACCTGCTAATTTCCTCCACTGCCTTGATGGGAGTCACTTCCCGTGCGCCTTACTTGTTTGGGTGATCACGTACTATCTGTCTCTCCCCAAGGCTGTGTGCTCTGTGAGGGCAGAGACTAGCAGGGACAGGCACTCGACAAATGTCCTGGGAAGGCGGGAACGCCTCTGCGGCTGGTGCCCACTCTTCAGAGTGGGCATCCCTGCATCAGGGTCTGGAGATGCCCTCTCCCCAGCCACATCCCCAGTACCAGTTCAGGGACCCACAGTCATGGGCTCCTTGCAGCTTTTGTGCCTCATGCCTGATGTGCCAGGACCCCAGCCCCAAGCAGTGCTTGCTACATGCATGGGACACAGGGCACTGAAGTGTGACAGAGCAGCTCTCCCATTCCCTGGCTGTGTGGGCTGGGGCCGGTCATTTCCCCTCTCAAGGCCTTAGTTGCCTTATCTGTAAAATGGGGCCAATACCACTGATCTCGCAGGGTGGTTTTGAAGATTAAGAAAGATAATGAATGTGCTTAGCACAGAGTAGGTCCTCCGGAAATGGCAGTTTGGTCCCCGTGCAGTTAGTTCCGAGTTTGGGTCTGACCCTGTTTCACCTAGATGACCTCTTTTTATCTTGGATGATTCCTGCATATGCCCTGGCCTCCTTCGCTGGCCTGTCCCTAGGGATGGCCCATTCCTAGCCTTCAAATGGCTAATGTTCTGCTCAGGGTCAGTCTCCCAGACACATCTATTGCCCACGGCCACGGACACCTGCTTGCCCTCCAAGCCTTAACAATGCAAGAGGCACTGACATGCGTCGGAGGAACAGGTGCAGGAACCCTCTGCCCTTTTGGGCGAACTTCCTGGTCCCCCATCCCCAAATATGGGGTAGTAATGGCCAAGTCAGCCCGTCCGGTTTCTTATCCCATCTCCCCCCCGCTTCCCCGGAGCATTCTTTGACCCCATAACCAGTAACTTCGCCTCTCTGAGCCTTGATTTCCTCCTCTGAAAAATGGCCACAATAACAACATCTGTGAGGATTCCATAAGATGAGGTAAAATACTTAGCAAAGAGCCTGATGTTTAGCAATTGTTCAATAAATAGTAACTGTTACTGTTATAACTGCTTTTTACCTTTTTGACAATGAAATAGAACACAGAGGGAAAAGTGCACAAAGCAAACGCTGGGGCGCCTGGGTGGTTCAGCCGGTCCAGCATCTGACCCTGGGTATCGGCTCAGGTCACAATCTCGGGGTTGTGAGACGGAGCCCCACATTGGGCTCTGTGCTCAGCAGGGAGTCTCCTTGAGAGTCTCTCGCCCTTGCCCTCTGCCCCTCCCCCTGCTCACGCTCTCTCTAAATAATATAAATCTTTCTTTAAAATGTGGACTGCAGGGGCGCCTGGGTGGCTCAGTGGGTTAAGGCCTCTGCCTTCGGCTTGGGTCATGGTCCCGGGGTCCTGGGATCGAGCCCCGCATCTTCCCCCTCTCCCTCTGTCTGCCTCTCTGCCTACTTGTGATCTCTTGTCTGTCAAATAAATAAATTTAAAAAAAATTTAGGAAAAAAAAATGTGGACTGCAATAAATTATCATAAAATAAAGCATTGTGCCACCACCACCTGGGTCAATGAATAGCCTACAGTGCCCCCCCATCCTTCTAGCCTCTCCTCACACAGGTGATCCTTTTCCTGACTCTGTTGCTATTATTACTAATAAAAAGCAAGTGAAGAAAAAAAAAACGTGTGGCTACTCTGTCCTGACCCAACCAGGCTCCCAGACCCCCCTCCCCTGCCGCCTCTGCCCCGGGTGTGGAGACTCCCCATCCGGTTTCCCAACTTTGGCTTTGGCTAATCTTTAAATAACCAGTTTGTTAGCAAAATAGCAGCAAGTAACACCTCCCTCGCTCCCACCCGAGCCTCCATCTTTCCCACAATGCTGACGGCTGCTCTCCCAACTCGTGCCAAGGAATCCCGTTCTCCGTCACTGGGCCACATACGCCAGGGACTGCCAGCCATGCTGTTATGTCAGCGGCCATGGTCCTGCCCCTCTGGCCATGCCCGGCTGGGGGGAGATGGGCGTGGGCACTGAATGGCGGTCATTTTCAGGAAGGACCAGGATGTCGGTGCCCAAGCCCTGTGCCCCAGGTCTATGTGCCTCAGTCTTCCCATGCCTCGACCTCCCACAGGGTCGTTGCTAGTCTAACTGAGATCAGAAGAAAACGAAGCACTTAGTGTCAGGCCAGGCCCATAGTCATTGCTCAAGAAATGCTTGCCGTGGTTCAGGTTGCTCAAGCTCTATATTCAGTCCCTGGGGAGGTCACGCGGAGCCCAGGGCATGACCGGGAGTGCTGGCAAATGATGACATCCCACAGACACTCACAGCTCTCAGACCACGATACCCTTATCACTTCTTTTCTTGCAACAGCATCTCAGCCAAATGCAATAGATGTCTGTGGTCGTTACAGCAGGCGGAGGCCAGTCTGGGGGAGTGGGGTTAGGGAGCAGCTAATTAATAGGGTCATTTCCCAGTTATTAATGAGGCTGGCACTACACGAGTGTGCAGCTCCTTGTTCTCACAGAAGAAGCCCTTCTACATACATTATATACAGCAAACTTCATGTTTTTTTTTTTATTATTATCCTATGACATTTGCATATTATACATATTTACGAGTCTTTTCCCTTCTCATAACCACCCCATCAGGGAGGCCGGGCAGCTGCTGGCAGATAAGAGAATTGAGACCAGAGGGGCTGGCCATCCTGCTGACCTGAGCTGACTGCGAGCTCTCTGGGAGCAGCAGGGACCAGCAGCTGGCCCAAAGGCCAGTGGGTTTTGGGGGCCTGCTGATGTCCGGGTGGAGGGAGGGGAGAGTGCCTTCTCTCCTCTCCCTCTGCCTTCCTTCCACAGTTATCACTGTGTACCCATTCTGCGCCGGGCGCTGTACCCGCTGCTGGCTGTCCACTGGGGAAGGAAGCCGTCCTAGCTCACCTGTGAGGAGCTGAGGCCAGATAAGGAGGCAGATCCTAAACCAGCTGAGGGTGGGGGGTGACCGCGGGCAAGCCCCTTGAGCTGCTGGAAGCCTCCGTTTCCTCATCCGTGAGCAGCCTTGGGAGGCGGCAGGAGGGTGAGGTGCAGGAAGGTAGTGGGGGTCAGGCACCGTAGCTGCCACCGGGTGGGGGCGTGCTGTTGCCAAGGATGACGGGACCAAGTGTGGGTGCTCTGCGGCGCCCTCAGACGGGCAGTCGGAGAGAAGCGGGGTGCACCACCCCGTCCCATTTAAGGTTAGGCAAAGCAGGGACTGGAGGAGTGTGGGTGGAACAGGTTAGAGGGGCGAGAACAAGGGGGCTCCCCAAGATTCAGGAACTCTGATGGCCTCATCTCAGCCCCTCTGTGGCTCCCAGCATGGCTCACTGCTCCCCTCGCCTTCCTGAGCCCGTGTTGCCCATGGCCCAAGCCCCTCAGGTGTGGCGAGAGCTGGCCTCCGAGGCCGACGGAGCCGGACTTGTGCACACCCTTAGGCCAACGGCTTCCCCTCCCGGAAAACAGGCGCAATCACTGTTCCCACCTCCTGGGGTGTTGGGAGGACTGAACACGACAAGCAGTTGAACTACGAATTGAGCCCAGACGAAGAAAAGCTCTCACCGAGGTCCCTCTGCCAGCATGTGGGCGCCACTGGGGGGGAAGGCTGGGCATCTCCCAGGCGTGCAGAGCGTGGGCGGGCAAGGGAGCAACCCCGATTCTGTGTGCCCAAGCTGCGGACGCCATTACTTACCAACCAGGGAGCTATGCGCAGAGGGATAATGGGAACCAGTCGGGAACCAGCAGGCGTCACCTCGGGAGCAGGCACTGGACCAACGGCTGGCACGCACATCCCTCCGGGCACACAATCAGAGACTGGCGGGAAGCGGCAGGGGACAGGGGCCCTCCAGCGCCTGGACAGACCCGGTTCTGGCCACCCAGCACCTGGCGGAGAGGGAGGCACCAGCGTCTGTAGGAATGGGGGAGAATGTCAATGAGGAGGTGCCTGGAATAAACCCTCTACCCTGAGATGCCCGGACCGGCCCTGGGAACACTGGGGAGGAAGACACCATGGAGCGATCATTATAGAAACCCAAGTGTTTGTACAACACTACATTTTCCAGAGCACTCTGGCATCCCGGCTCATGTGGGCCCCCACATTATTTTTCAGAGGCATATTTACATGTCATGCATATTTACGATGCCTTTCCCACCACCCACAGAATCCCCACAGCAGCCAGGAAGCCAGGGTTCCAAAGGCTCCAATCTTCCCTGCCACTGTCTTGCTTTTCCCTTCTTTTCCCTGGATGGCAGGGAGAGGGGAAAGGGGCTGGAGTCACACAGGCTTGAGTTTGAATCCCAGTTTGAACTCGCTGGGTGACCCTGGACAGGCAGCTGCCACTTTCTAAGCCTCAGTTTCCTCTCTGTCCCATGGGAATAAGAGGGCCTCTTCTGAGGGTGCTAATGAGGAGTGAGAAGGTCACTGGAGGGAGAACACAAGGCCTGGCATATGTGCCTGAGAAAGACCCTCCAAAGAGGCTTTGCCCGGTCCCCTGCACTCAGCAGGAGGCCTTTCATGGCGTCGCTGCTCATCACCTCCCACATAACGCACTGGGCAAGAGGCAGAGGGACGCCAGGTGTCCCTTTCCACCCACCTTTCCCAAACAGGTGCCACTGCTCCTGCTTGGAACTTTAAATTGGCAGGAGCGAGGCCCTCCTGGGAGAAGGAGGAGGCGCCTCCAATCCACAACACCCTCCCAGGAGCCTCTTGGCTACCTTGGAGACCTCCGTGGAAGATTCTCAGCCTCTCATTCTTCAGGTGGAGAGACTCAGACACAGAGGAGACGGAGCTGACGTGGGGGCGAGAAGCCAGGTGGGGCTAGGATCTGAACCCAAGCTTTCCACCTCAGCCCTGAGAGGGGAGGCGCTGTAGGAACCTAGAGAAAGGGCCAGCTGATGGTGAGGAAGGGTCACCTTCCTCTTCTGGTTACCCCAAGCACCTGGAAAGCCCTCTTGACTTCCCTATAGCTGCATCTACTCTGTGCAAAGCCCATAACCTGTGCTCCTCACCGCTCCTCACTGTGTTATCCCTGCTTTTCAAGGGGGGAAACTGAGGCTCAAGCAGATTCAGCAATTACCCACAGGCACACACGGAGGAAGAGGCAGGGCATCCAATGCCAAGACCCAGCACTTAACCCCAGTTAGCCCTGTCTCCCCCAGGGAAAAAATCACCAACCAGGAAAAACAGGCATAACTGTCTGGACAAAAAAATGTTTAAGTAGCAGAAAAAGAAAACATCAAATTCTCAAACAGTCCTGAATCAGTGCAAATTCTTATAAATGCATACAAGATTTCAAGATACACCATGGGGCGTGAAAATTGCCAGCGCATGGAAAGCCAGTGCTTGGGAGGGTGCGTTCTCGACCACGTTGTCACTTGTAGCCAAGATCAGCCAGAGCCAAAGCGGAGGGAGAAGCGGTGGTAACAGAGGACGGTGTCCTGTGCAGGGCAGGAGGGCGGGGACCCTGATCTGGGGGTTTTCCCCCACTTTCTTACTGTAGGACCAGAGCACATTGGCTCCCTCCCTGCCCAGAGTCCCCGCTTTACAACAGGTGGGAGGAGCACACAGGACAGCCTCTCAGGTCTCTGCAGCTCTGGTGGTATTAAAGATTGAGACTTCCAACAGGGATGAACCTTGAGAACATTATGTTAAGTGAAAGGAAGCAGTCACAAAAGGCCACAAAGGGTATGATTTCACTTACACAAAATGTCTGGAACAGGCAATTCTGTAGGGACAGAGAGTAGATTAGTGATTGTCAGTGGGGGGCTTGGGGCGGGTGTGATGGTTAAGCGGTTCATGGTTTCTTTTTGGAATAATGAGAATGTTCTAAAATGGATTGTGCTGATGGCTGCACATCTCTGAATATGCTAAAAACCATCAAATGGTACACTTTAACTGGGTGACTTGCATGGTATATAAATTCGATCTCAATAAAGCTGTGACAACAATCCAACACTAACAAATACTCTGCAACTTCCAAAGTGGCAGCCATCCTCAGGCAACGTGCAGTCCCCTCAGCATTCTTCCACTGCAGCCTGGGAAACCAAAGAGTATCTTCCTAGAAGCCCCCCACACCCCCTGCAGACCCTCTATTCCAGAGTCTTCATGTTGCACTTCACATTCACCTCTTCCAGGAAGCCCTCCCTGACCTCCCAACTATATTGGCTCCCTGGTTACTGGCTCCCAGGGCATCCTGGGTTTCTCCTTCTTGCCACTTATACCGAGAGAAGAAAATCACTTCCGTGATCGCTGGTTGACACTGCCTCCTCCATCATACTGGGCGCTCCATGGGGGCAGGGCCGTCATCACCGGTCATCAATGTCAACTGTACAGTGCCTGGCCTGCAGGAACTGCTCCAGAAATGTTTGCTGACTGAATGAGTGAATGGAAATTTCAGATCCTGGGATGGACACCTGGCTTCCAGTCCTGGCTCCAGCACACTCTGGCTGAATGATCCTGAGCAAGTCACGTAACCTCCAGAAGTCTCCACGCCTCTTTCAGAGAGTGGCCAGCGGTAACGGGTGAACATAGGATGGGATGAAGGGATAATGGACATGGAAAGCACTTTGTGAAGTGTCTCCTCCCACAGCTGCCCCTATTTTGGTCGAAGGAACCCACTCCAGCCCGAGCCTCTCCTAACACCTCTCTCTCCTCCACCCTCCACATCCCAGCGCTCACAACTCTTCCTGATGCAACACCTGCGTTGCAACCAGCACCATGGACAGAGCCGCCACCAGCTCCTGCCTGGATTATGCCTGTCCTTTCCTGTCTCCTGCTTCCGCCCTGGCTCAGCTGGAGGAATCAGGTGAAAACACAAGTCACAACCTCCGCTCCTCTACTCAAACCTAAGCCCTCCACAGCCTTACTTAACCTCAAGTAAAAGCTGACGGCCCTACAGATGCCACAGGTGACCCCCTCCACCACCACCAATCTCCCCTTTCCTCTTTGCCCACTCCCCTTACCTCTATGCAGTTTCCCAAATACGCCAGGCCTATTCTTGCCTCCGAGCCCTCACACCTGCTCTTCCTGCAGTTGGAATGTTGGTCGCCCAGATGTCTGCGAACCTGACCCCCCCCACTTCCTTCAGGACTTTGCTGAGACCTGACCTTGTCGACGAGAGGCAGTCAGGCAGCGTGGTTAAGACTCTCCACCGAAGAACATGGGCTTGAGGTAAACATCTAGGGTCTGCCAGTTACAACCCTGAGTGAACTTGGGCAAGTTTCTTAGCTTCTCCGTGACTCAGTCACTCCTTTCTGCAATGGAATAATTACAGCAGCTTCCTCAGAAAGCTGCTGTGGGGCTTCCATGACTCAGTGAATGCGACCTCCTTGTGGGTGGCTATTATGACCTCCCCTCCGCCAAGAGCTCCCTCCACCACACCCCACGCCCAGCCTGCCTCCTCTGCTGTCCTCCTTGCATGCGCCACTACACAACAGGGAATGTGAACGGGGAATCTACCTGATAATCTCCTGCCCCTCCCACTAAAATGCCGGCCCCACAAGGCAGAGAGTTTTGTGGATTCGGTTTATTGCCAGAACCCCTGTGCCTGGCCCAGCACCTGGTGTGGAGGGGCTCAGTGAAGATTTCACTCAACAAATATTTTCAAGGCTGAATAAATATTTATTGACTTAGTGTCGCAAGCTCTGGGGTTCCCTGTCCACAGGCATTTCTGTCTCCAGCCCAGCCTGTCCCTCAGAGCTCCAGGTCTGCACAGCCAAATTTCTACTGGCGGCTCGGCCCGCTGCCTACACCTCAGTGTATGTGTCCATGGTCCTGTGTGGACCTTCCCCGGAGACCCTGCTCTCTTCCAGCATTGGCTAACTGGGTACCTGGAACTAGCTCACCCTCTTTGGTAGCCAAGAAGCCAAGAGGCTCCCATACTCCTTCCTCCTCCTTCTCGCTCACCCTCTTTTATGTAAAACCCTAGACCATGTCCTATTTCTTAGAAACCTCCTAAACATCTCTCAGATCCCCTTCTCTCGATCCCAAGTCATTGCCCATCCCAGCCACCGCAACATCTTGTTGAGATCGCTGCACCAGCCTCCTCTCTGGGCAGCCTGCTGCCTCCCTTGGTTCATCTTTTGGGCTGCAGCCAAGAGGATCTTTTCAAAACACACGGGGAGGGACGCCTGGGTGGCTCAGTTGGTTAGGCGGCTGCCTTCGGCTCAGGTCACGATCCCGGCGTCCTGGGATCGAGTCCCGCATCGGGCTCCTTGCTCATCGGGGAGCCTGCTTCTCCCTCTGCCTCTGCCTGCCATTCTGTCTGCCTGTGCTTGCTCTCTCTCCCTCTCTCTCTCTCTGACAAATAAATAAATAAAATCTTTAAAAAAAAAAAAAACACACGGGGAAACAAATGAAAGCTTCGCTCTGCAGGCTTGAGAAACCCAAATCCTCACTGACTCAAAAAAAACAAACCGATGGGGACTTTTCAGAAGAATTCACCCCAGGGTGCCTCAAATAATGAAAGGCCTCCCCAACTTTGCCACCCCAGGCCCAGGTAAAATGGTATTTGTTGTATAAAAATTTAGTTTACCAAATAGATTTGCACAGGACTTTTTAGCTCAATAAATATTTGTGGAGTGGAATTGAAATTAAAAAAAAAAAAAGCAGCTAAATAATAGCATTTATAGAGTCACACAGGCACTGGGGCCTTTCCACACACCCCATGTCTGGTTTTTCTCCTCTCAGCAAACCAGTCAGGTGTTACTGACTCCAGTTTCCAGATGAGGCAAATGAGGCCCAGAGAAGGGAAGTCACTTGTCTGAAGTGACACAGTTCCCAGATTCCTACGGAGTCCTCCCAGGCCCTGGAGGCTGTGCCAGCTGGGGGCAGCGAGGCTGGAGTTTCCGACAAGGCAG